GAAGATTGGGATTGGCAATCTCACTATGGATGCCTGTTCCACAAAACTTTCCCACATCTTCAACATCTTTCCCATGACTCCGTCTTTGTTGTGGTTCGGGCAGCTGGGATCACTTGAGCCTTCCTGTTGGGTATGCTTTGCATTCGCGCCGGCAGGCTGCGATACCACAGTCGTTGCTGTCGCCACTGCTGCCTCCAGGATGGCTTTTACCCTTGCTTTTACCCTTACCCTTAGCCTTTTCATTCCCCTTGCCATCACCCTTCTGCTGAGACTTCACAAAGGCCTCTTTCGCCTGCGCTGAGCCCGGCTGGCCCACATGCTCGTGCCTACACTTATCGCCATAGTAGCATAGTCCTGCGGCACGCAAGGCACAAATGAGCTTCCTGCCGGGTGGCTTGGTCTCTGCTGGCAATGCTGGGGTTTCAACCTTCGTGCTTTCCGCACCCCCCTGACCCTGCGATCCCTTCGGCTTCGATTTCCCACCTTTCGCCTGGGAGGCGCTGGTAGAGCTCGATGCGGGAGCGTCATCGCTCTTGGCCTGTTTGGCTGGCAGTCCGACGCTTTCAGACCTTTAGTGAGGTTGTCATATTTCTGGTCCTCCCTATGCTCCTTCAACTCGTCTTGAATGGCATTCCACAGCCACTCGAAACCGCGTCTTTTGGATAATGGGGAAGGATCTCTCACTTTGTTGGTCACTCTTGACAAGCAGGGAACCCGCTTCACCTCATGCCACAACCAATGGAACAATGTCTTGCCGTTTGGTCTGTCTTCAGGCCTGAGCCCATTGCGGATGTAATGCGCCCTCCTGATGAAGGCTTGTACATTCGCTGCTGTGGTGCCCTCTATCTTCAAGTTGAGCAAATGCATCTGGTTTAGAGCAACCCCTTGCGATGCACCTATGGAGAAATGACAGTAGATCCGATTCAACATTGGCGCTGCTCTGGGTCCCTCACCTTTCAACGCACAACTTTCAACGTATGAGTTGAGTTCATGCGACAATTCGAAATTGGTGGCCAACACATCCGGCTGAATGAGTTCGGCTGCAAGGTGCTTGTTGAACTGCACAAAGATCTTTTCTGAGTGAAGCTTCTTGCGGAACTTGCTGCCACTTCCTCCTTCGAAACAGCGCACAACGTATTTTGCCAAAACATCATCCTGAGTCATGTCAACACGGGATACTGAGGCAATCAAGGCGCTCTTCCACTCTCTACAAGATGTGGCGTCATTTGGCAACCTTGTGACCTTAATCATCTTAAGGTTCTTATGCTTGTACACTGAACTTTCGAACTCATCGTAGTCGCGCCGGGGCTGGTGCCCGGCTGCGGAAGAGTCACTAGATGATCCCCAAGCCACTTCATCTTCAACTTCTTCGGAAGAATTTTCGGATGGGCTTGCCTGAGGGTCATCTTCGGGGATTGCGGGCTGCTTCTTGACAAACCCTTTCTTGGACCCGGACGTTTTGTCGCGCCTGCTGGCAGCGTGTCCGTCCCCCTTTGCACCTGCTGTGGTGCTGCATCTGCGCCACTATGGCCTCCTGAGGCGGGCCCAGGAGTCATGTCGTTCCACAAAGGAGCAGGGAAGCCACTGGGAATGCGTGGGGGTTCTGGCACCTGCTGGAGACCCGGTGGAACACTCACAACAGCGCATGCGCTTTGCGAGCCATACACTATTGTGTTCAGTTGTTCAATCTGTCCCTTAGCCTGTTCCAGTTGCCCCATCAACTCAGCAATCTGTTGATCTCGCTGGCTTCCGAAGCTTCTTGATGGATTCTGGCGACACCCACTTCGGCTTGCACTTGGGTCTGTTGTTTCTCCCTTTCAGCCTGAGTGATGAGTCTCTCAATCTGCTCTGGGTCATGCGTATAGACTACATTAGCAGTTTGCTGAATGGCATTATATTGCTGCTGATGCACATTGGTATTCTCAGCATTGACCTGGGTCATATGTTGAGTGGATGCATCAACTTCCATATGGTGCAAATTTGCTGATTCATTTCCTGTGTTGCCTGTTCCTTCGTGCAATCCAGTGCTTTCGGCGGGCTCACCTACGATTTGCAATTGATCACTTGGTACGGCATCTATGAACCGCCCTGTGTGATGAGGTGGAGAAGTCATTATGGCTGCTTCACCCGGGCTGTCAAGTGAAGGAAATGATGATGAGGATGTTTCTGGATCCCTTCTGCTGTGGTATTGGGCTGTTAAACCTAGCCTTTGTCTGGCTGAGTCACCACCTTTCTCTTTACCTAAGCGTTTGGGACTCTCCTCTTGCATTCTCCCCCTTCTGATTCCACCCTGGCGGTCCTGACTTTTCCACTCTACCACCTTAGATCACTCGTCCGAGCGGTGTGCGATCGCCAGCCACAAATTGCTGCGCTCTCCGGCGCTTTGCAGTGTCTTCGCAGCTCGGACCCGTTCCACTAGCAGCTGGATGCTCGTTGACGCAGAGTTCGCGCTCTTGATCTGTATCGTCCACGGGGCCTGCCTCGGGTCCAAAAGTCGGCCCCACCGCTCTTGCAGTTCGTCCAAGATGTCCCGTGCGTCGTCGCACAACGCAGTTGCTCCAAGCTCCAGGACTCTCTGTGCTTTTGTCTTGTCCGAGCGCCCGTCTCGTCGGCGTGCTGAACGCCACGATTTGCGATACACGAATTCAAGAGGTATGTGTGACAATGGTTCTGACACCCACGCCTCCCGAGTTGTCTGCTCCCGATGTGCTGTACCCACGTACGACAGGCACAGGATGGCAACTCCTGTATCCTCCAGCCGCTTCACTGCCTCCACCACAGGTGTCGGAATCACCCCCAAATGCTCCAGGGTGTTGTGGGAATCCAATATCACCAAAGACTGCGAATTGACTGATGGCGCTGGTACCTGAACAAGCTCAAGCGATTCCACGTCTGAGCTGATGTCCTCCACGGGCGATTCTGCCTCCAAGTCAGGGATGTCCGGCTGTCCCGTCGATTCAAGAATCACCGGATCTTCGACAATGTCTGTCTGTCCGATTTGCTGATGTCGAAAAACGTCCAACTCCGCCAAACACCAATGACTCTCGTCCTGTGACGTCCTGAACCAAGCGTAGCTGTGATTGCCACTTGTTGATCCGTCTGCGCGCCAAGGATGTACCTCTGTCTCGATCTCTACTTCTTCCAGCTCGTCGTCTGCTTGCTCTGTCTGCACTTCCTGCACCAATTCCAACGCGTCCTGAAAACCCGCCTCGTACGCACGTTCAAGCTTCCGTTGCTTATACTGAACCTGTCTGTCCGGTCGTCCTCTGCGTCGGGATCGTTGAGTCTTGCGCATATACTTTCTCAAGAAAGTTGTAAGGTCTGATATTCACCGCCGCCTCGAGCTGTACGGCTGATAACCCGCAGAAACTTGCAAGTGGTATCCTGAAGTAAACGTTATCAAGCGTCCGATCAAGAATCCAAATACGAGCTCCAGTTGTAGTCCGCGGCGTGATAGTCCCTCAAACCCAAATGGCAGCAACGAAACAAGACACTAACCTATTCCCCTCTCACAAGAAAACAACTGCAAAGCCAAACACCCAGCGGGACCTTTTAAGGGAACCGACCTGACCCGGGGAGCGCGCTTTTTCTTGAGCCAAACATGCAAGGTCCGCAGTTCACGGAAGGAATGCCCTACTGTAGGGAACCCCTATGTCCTATCGATTCCCGTTGATGCAAGTAACCGCAAAGTCATCATGATGTATTGCCCACACGAAGTGTATTGCCATCCCTGTGGGTATGCATATATTTGAGAAAGAGTGCGGGTATTTCCACTCACTTTGGATGCTTTTCAGTCGGCTGCTAACAAAATCGCAAGCCTGGCAAAGAAATGAAAAGAAGTGGAAATGACATTCAAAGAATTGGGAAGACCCTGGAACGGACATGGGAAGGAAATTGCAGAGGATGGAAAGGAAATGGAAAGGAATAATTGAAGAGCAGATGTATGCTGTGTAGCAGTGGAAAAGAAAAGGAACGGAAAGGAAATAGCAAAGAAATGAAAGGGAATGACAAGAACATGGAACAGGGCTGGAATAGGACTGGAAAGGAATCCGAAATGAAATTGGGCAACGGTCTTACACTTCGAATATTTGAAAGGATCAATGAGAGATTGACATCACAAGGAGCTCGGCCGCATTATACGCACTGTTCTCTGCCACCGAGGGGGGGGGAAGAGGAGATGGTTGCTGAGCTCTAATGTATGCATGGCTCCCGCAAAGGCAATCAATAATTTCGGAATCTTGAAATAATTATAATAAAATCTATAAAGATAAGATACTAATAGATAAGAAAGGAAATAGAAGAAGATAGAAAGATGTAACTAAGAAATATGACTGTAAGATGTAAAGAGATTCTTGTTGTCAGGACTCACATAAGACATACGTAAATATTAACTCCTCAAAGCATTTCTCTAAAACAAGCATGTGAAAAATGACTTATTTTTTGTTTGTGGAATCCTCACCAGTTAACGGATATAAATTTGTGGGTGCATCATTCATCATCTCTCTCTCTCTCTATTCAAGCTTGGCTTTCATGTCATCTGAATTCTTCATTCAAATTATCTTTCTCTTTTCCTTTGCCTTCATGCCTTCCCCGTCTAATAATCGGTTACTTTGGGAAGGCTTCATCTCTTTTGTCCATTCCTTTCTTGTCTCTCCTGCTTGAGCTTGCAGGCCCCCATGTAGTATTCAATGGCAACTTGGGGAGTGCGTGCCACAACCGGCCATGTCGCTCTCTACGGCAATGGAGTGAACATGAGTCATAGTCAAAACCCGTATTAAAGTGGTCTACCCAGAGCCACGTAAAAAAATCAGAAGGCGATTTCTGGCTGGGAGTATCCCTTACCAACCTCCATTTACCCGACTTGGTTTTGGTTTCGTGACCTCCCAGTGGCCATGGGGAAAATGCCCATCCCCTTACTACCTTCCATCTACCCAAGGTTTGGCTTCAAGACTCCCAGCCCATGGACTCGTCCCATGGGACTCGATATCGATCCCAATCCGACCTCCGTGGAGTGCGTGGAGTCCTTCAAGCTCTGCAGCGAGCCGTCCAGCGTGAAGTTCCCCCAGCAGCTCGCCAGGAACTGCTCCGCCGCGCACTCGTAGACCCAGCCGATGGTTTGCAGCAGCCGGCCGCCGAAGGACACCTATAAGGCGAGCATAAGGCCGTCAAAAGGCGAGCGGGGAAGCGGGTCCACGGGCCCTTCAAAAGCCAACTTGCAAGGATTTGTCATCAGCCACCGGCACCAAGCTCCATGGAACATGTCAGGATGATGGTTTCAAGACATGCTGAGGCTTCCAAACAAGCATGTCAAGCAATGACCGAGTCCCAGTGATCAATAGACACCTGGCTGTGGGTCAAAAATAGGTACCCAAAATGGCTTGCTCTGGTAAATGGAAACAATGACTGGAAACTGTGTTTTTTCTCTGGCGGTTGAATTTTGACCCATACCCACATGGGGTCTGTCTTACCAACTCAGACACATCAACTCTCATTTGGCCGTGGGTCAAAACATGTCAAAACCCTATACCCCTGGTGAACGTCAAAATAAGCGGCACATGGATGTTCATCCACCCCAAACTGGCTCGCCATAGGTTATGCCTCATGTTCAAACGCATGGGGGACGTTTCAGAGTCTGTCTGCCTGGGCAAGCTCTGCGGTCTCTTGCAGCACGCTGGTGGTCCAGCCGTCGGGGTTGCGGCCAACCACCCATCTGTCCAGGCGGGCGATGAGCTGAGTGGCCTCACCGGTGGATGGCCCAAACAAAACCCAAACTTTTTGTGTTTACCACATTTCTACATAAAATGGTCTTCCCAAAAAGTTTACCCAATTAAAAAGTCCAAACTCTATATTTACCACATGAAATATTCTTCCCAAAGTTCATGAACTCAGGATGTGCGTAGAGTGGCACAGGTCACCTCCCGCACAAACTGCTGCCGCTTGATGTGCAGATCCTTCTTCTCAGAGCCCCAGCGCATCTCCCTCTCGATGCTGTTGCCGATGACGTCCCGACCCACCCCTTCTTGTCCTGCGCAGTGCAGCTTACTCGCTGATAGGGCCTGCGCTTTACTTGCGATGGGCCTAAGGCTTGGGGAATGAATCTAGGGATTCACTTAAAGGAAATCTTGCGGCCAACTTTCTGGTGCGGCAGGGCATGGCCACAGGCTTTGGGAATAAACCTAGGGATCGCCTTAAGGAAATCGTAGGGCATGGTTTATATGGGGTATTGCAAAACTTGCTGATGCTGTGCTGTGGACGCGAAATCCATTTCGCACCAGCTAAGAAACCCTGGTTTCTGATGAATCCCCCTGTACCAATCAATGGTTTCAACCATGGTTTCCAAGTGGTGCCTAAGAGGATTTCGTCCGTCAGTAGGGGGCCAAAGGCTTTGGGAATGAACCGTTTTGGGATTCCCTAGGCAATAGGACATGGTGAGGGGTCATTCCATTTCTCATTCCCCATGGAGAACCAGCAAGTAGGGCTTCCTGGTTGGCTTCTGGCTCCCAAGCTTGGGACCTGACCCTTAGACAATGCTTAGAGCGCACATCTCTCCTGGGTGTTTGTCGAGGTCCTTCTGGAAGTCTCTGGCAATGTGGTCAGTTTGCATGGCCAAGTAGAGCTTGCCGATGTACTTCTCGAACTGCTCGGTGCCAAAAAGCATGCTGAAGAAAAGCCCGGGATCTATATTGGGCAGTGCCTGGTCACTGATGGCATCTACCTTGGCACATGGAGAAACAAAGACATCGACCATTTGGGAGTCAAAGAACCTTAAAAAAAGCAACAGCAAAACACACTGCAAAAAAATCCTTAGACGGTTGCAAATGGCAACATGGCAAACGTAGGAAAAAAGGCCAACGACTGGGCAAGCATAGGTGTCATTTTCGGAACATCGACGGGTCCTCCTGGTTTTCTCAGGAATAAAGCCCATCCCATCCAGTGGAACCCATTCATTTCCTTGTCCAAACCAACTTCGCAAAAGGCCTATGCGTCCTCCTTAAAAAAAAAAAAAAAACGCGGCCGCCGGCCGGGCTGCTCCGTTCTGGTCGTATCTCTCCCTGAGCTTGGGGTCACTGAGCACCTGGTAGGCCTGCGCCAACTTCTGGAACTTGCGACTGGCCTCCGGGTCATCTTGGTTCTTGTCCGGGTGGAGCTTCAGCGCCACCTGAAGAGCTCTCTCTCTCTCTCTTGTAATCTGTTGAGGGCGCTGTTGCACATATATATATATATACATATATATATATATATGTACATGTATGTATATTATATATATATATATATGTGTGTGTGTAGTATACACACACATATATATATATATACACATAGTATATATAGCCTCCTCAAAAAGACATCAACAACCGCAACAACCACAAAAAAACTCACGAAAACTGACAACTCCGCCTTGTAGTAATTCTTCTTGATCTCCGAGGGCGTTGCGTTGGGCTTTACCTCCAAGATGTCGTAAAAGCTGGTGTCTGCGACCTTGCGGCTAGGCCGGTCGTCCGGCTCCTCATCTGAGGACTCGGTTTCCATGGTGGCGGCTTTCGCGACATCCTCCCGGAGGTTGCAGAAGTCATCCACCCAGATGCCCTGCTCAGCATCCCAGCGCCTGTTCGCGTAGGCATTCTGCACGGCCTCCGGGGTGTTGTAGACGCCCCGTGCCTAGGCTGGAAGTAGGAACCCAGCAAAAAAAACAACATATCTTTCTTGCGCAAACAAAAAAAGGACCCCACAAAAAAGCCACAAAAAACAACCAACAAAAAAAACAAAAAGGGGAGCTAACTCTGGGTAAGGTGCCAGCTGCGTGGCACCCGCCACCGCCCCCCCTAGGGTCAAGCCGATGGCGCCGCAGACGCCGGTGGCCAGGCCCTTGAAGAAGCCGGTGACCCCGTCCTCCTTGGCGCCCACCACGGGGGCCGCGATCAGCGCCGCGCCCCCCGCCAGGACCCCCGCCCCCGCCACCTTGAGGCCGCTGAAGGTGCCGTCGATCACGTCCCGGGGCCGCGTGGAGCTCAGGAACTTGTCCACGGAACTGCTGGCGTCCAGCTCCTCCTTGGTCTTCACCGCCACCATGGCCGTACTACTGGACAAGGCCGGCGCCGCCGCCGGCGGCTCCTGAGCGACAGAAGCAAAACACTGGTGACTCGCAAGTCGACTCTCGAGATATGCTTTTCATGGCATGCAACAAAAAGCGTCCTCGGGCTTCGCCACTTCGGGCGGCTTTTCCGCCGGAGATCTCGAGGGCACGGCTTTGGGCGGGTACGCCAAGGGGTCCATAGATGCCAACTCTTCCAAGATGATAAGACGAATGTGAATCACAGCGCCGAGCTCTAGAACGCTCCAAGCACAGCCCTGCCCAGTGGGCACCTGCACCTCTTTGCTGGAATCTAGCACTGGTGCCGCTCGCATCTCCTGCAAGAGTTCGGCCGGCGGTGGCCCCGCCCAGGCATTGAACGTTGCACTGCCTGCCATTGGGTTGGAAAAGACCACGCTGAAGTAGGTGTCCAAACTCTTCTCACTGACAAACCAGACTAAGCCTTGCAGGCCCGAGAAGAAATCGTCGCACGCGAACTCCAGCTTGGTGTGCTCTTGCCTGTTCAGGCGATCAATCTTGCTGCACCAGCTGCCGCTGTCAAAGAAGTCACCATCGCAGATCATGCTCTCCTCGCTGCGGTTGTCCACCTCGCGGTGGGAAACGGAACAACTTGACCGCATGAATTTGATTTATGGCATCGTATGGCCACCTCACAGCCTGCAAACCTTCCGGCCACCTCATTTTCGCTTTCTCCCTCCCCCCCCCTCCCCACCTCCCCGCCCTCCCCCCCCCCTCAAACCCCACGCCTCCAGAATCAGGCGCCGCTCCACCAACGTCATCCTCGGCCCAGCCACCGCCTGGTCGGTCAAGGTGGAGCGGCAGTACCGGGCCTTTGCCAGGCGCCGCGCGAGCTCCTCCGGCAGAGCCGTGCCCTCTGCGGGCAAAAGCACCTGAGGCGAACCGAGGAGAGATCTCCCAGCGTTTTTTCCACTTGGCCATTGGCTTTTCAGAATCCAAATCGGTTATCGGCCCAGTGAACGGGACCCAATCCAACTAAAAAAGGTTCTAAAATGGGTGGTGAATTCACCTACCCCAAAATGGTACCATTGGTTTTGACCGACAGCCATTTGCTGGCCACAGAGGATTCAAACGGAGAGCACCTGGAATAAAAAGACAAACAAATACCCCCCCCCCCCCCAATAAAATTGGAAATGCACTTGAGATCAAGACCAGCACACCCCATCGCAAGGGAAAATAAAAAGGAAGAAAAGGAGAGAAAGGAGCCAAGATTAGCTAAGCCAACACCTGGTCCTTGGATATTTGGTAGTCCAGCCCCCACAAGTCCTGGTTTCTTAAATGTCTCTTGTTTAAGGATTGTCCGCAATCAAACCCACACTGAATCAAACGGAAACTCAATTGAACTGGGGGGACCCCCTTTACGAGGCCCAGGTGGACATTGTGCACCCTGAAAACATGCCTATGAATCACCCTATTCCAGACAAATCCTGGTTGTTTCGATTTATTTGGGATTACTTTGCGACTATGTCCCAGGGAAAATCCATAGAGCGAGCGCGACTGCGCGTCTTTCCCGAGTTTTGGTCCGGGATGCCAAGCGCATGGTGACGTGCTCGTCGGTGAGCTCCTGGGTCTCCCAAGCGCAGCAGGCCTCCCGGCGCAGCCCCGAGCCGGGTCGGCCCAGGTCCGGCACTCGCGCCAGCAGGTCCTTGCCGTGCAGCTTGGGACCGCAGCGCGCCGTGAAGCAGGGTGCTGTCGTGATGGGCAAGGCAAAGGCCAGCGTCAGCAGCTGAGAGTGGTCCGCATTACTGAAGACCACGTAGCCTGAGAGCCCTGACCACCAGCTCTGGCACTCGAACTCCAACTGGGCATAGTCCACGAATTTGTTGATGCGGGAGCCCTTCCAGCCTCCCGACTCGAAATTCTCGCCGGAGAAAATGAAGGCACAGCGATCCTGCGTCAGGTTCTCCACGTTCACGGTCAAGCGGCGGGTGACCATCGCCTGCCACCTTCTGTTAATCCATCTGAGCCTTAAGCCAAGATGGCTGACACCGCCTTTGTTGCAACAGCCAGCTGCTCAAAGCCTTTTCTTCCTCTCTCTTCACTTGCTGGTGCGATTGGCAGAGGATGAGAAATGGAATGACCCCAATAAAGAATCCCCTATGGCTTCCTGTAAGAGAATCCCTCGGTTCATGTCCAAGACCCGGAACGGTCCTTGCCTACTGAGCCCCGGCAAGTTAAGGCTGTGCCCGTAAAAACTGGAGCTGTCTGCAACGGCAGTCCTCTACTTCCGACATCGCACGGTGGTGGACGACGCGGCCGGACAACTAAACGAGTCGCTGCGGAAGAAGCAGGATGAATCCAGAGACATGACTTAAATACCTTGGGCTGCAGCAATAAACTCATGCAATTGACACCGCCATGCCAAAACAAACACCCCTGCCATCGCATGCCAGAACATGCAACGAGCCGGTGCCTCCTTCCGGTAGCAGGCATGCTCACGCGCGAAGTTGGGAACTGCGCCGATGCAAAGGAAGGCCGGGAGCTGTTGCACCTAGCGCTGGCGACTCTCCCGAACATCTGATTGTGTAATCATGACCCCGGATTAATAAACCCCTGTTTACTATTGTGGGGGTGTCCCCAGTTTTAGTGGACATCATCACTTTTTGAGGGGGACACCCCCACAATAGTAAACAGGGGTTTATTAGTCCGGGGTCGACAATAGGAGCTGAGAGTAGTGCCCACATGGTGGCCCAGAGGTAGTTCAGCACGTTCGCCTTGCAAAAAGGAAAGCAAAAAGAAGACGTCCGGCACTCCAGTGCAAGACGTGCATCCGTCCTGGTCCCGTTTGCGCGCGCCAATGTAGGCCACGCAAACGAAGGCAACCAGGAGACACGTCCTGAGTGCCGGCCGGGCCGGCCTTCCCTCAGAGTTCCGAGTTCAGAGTTCCGAGGTCCCAGGCAGGACGCAGCGGCCACCGAAGGCTAAAGGATTCCTTCCGGAAGACTTGGGCCCCTCCAACCATGGAAGCTGAGGATCAGAGGGTTTGGGCAGACGATCTTTCTCTTTTTCATGGTGTTGTACACACTTCATTGTTGGAGCGAGGGGTGAAAAACATTTGTCGGACTCATCTGGGCCCTGCCTAAGATTGCTCCGCACGAAGCGAAGGAAAATCTTCCAAACCTCGAAGTCAGCTTCGCTTAGAGGCCGTGGCTTCCGCTCGCGGGGACGCCCGCCTGCCTGCTTGGGAAAGCCAGCTCTGCTGCGCGCAGCTGGCGGCTCACACCTGGGCTTTACTCTGGGAATCGAGAGGTGCCCCATTGAAAGGTATTAGGTGCCAAGCAAAAGGCATCCAGAAAGGCTGGGCCTCTCCTGTCGAGTTTGTGTTGGCTTGAAAGTCTCAACATGCCTTTGTGAGTTGATGCCTTCGCCCCTTCGTTGTCCGTCCTTTCTGCAAATGATTTGCCAGGCTTTGCAGATACTCTCCACCTCGGATGCTTTTGCGACAGCCTCAAGGCCAAAGGATCAACATATCCGCCTGCCCTTCTTCTGCAAAGTCGGCATTGGTGATCCGGATCATGAACCTAAGAACAAACGAGAGGGGGGAGGGGGCGGGGCGCTTTTTGAGCTCCAAAAATCGAGAAAAAAACTGGATTATGAACCTGGCAAACGAGTGGCGAGTTGGGGGGGGGGGGGCTTTTTGAGCTCACCGAAAAGCAAATAATTACAAACCTGAGCTCGCGGGCTCGGCCGGATTGATGCCGGGCGGGCTGGGATACCTGGGGCTACAGCGCTCGCCTGGCCCACTCCGCAGAATTTGGATCAGCCAGGCCAAAGACCCGATGGCGTTGAAGTGCCGGAGAGCCTCATCTGCCTTGCCTGGAGGACGCGAGGCGGTGACGCCGTGACGGCACACTCCATCCGCATGGCGCACCGAAGTAGCAAACCTGGCCCTTGGCCAAGACCAGGAGACGGTCAAACCTGAGCAATGCGAGGACTGAAATTCTGGTCGAGAGGTAGGGAATGAGAAATGGAATCAACCCAGGGGTTCCCAGAAAAAGGAAACCAGTTGGATGGTGTATAAAGGGTCATTCCAGTTCTCATGCCCTGCCGATTGAGCACCAGCAAGTCTTGTTCTGAGGAGTCCAGCTGCTGAAACACGTACGAGGACGGCTGATGAATGGTACCTCGCACGAGGCCGCCAGCCCTTCATTTGGGCGCTGTCATCAGATTCCGGGCAAATTGTTGCCAGGTTGTTGGCGACAGAAATGCCAGTGAGCAGCTCGACAATGGCCTCAGTCTCGCGTTTTCGTTTTGCCCAAACTGGACGGCTGGGAACCACCAGCGATGGCTAAAAAACACGGCCAAAAACCACCAGATGATGGCAAAAGAACACCAGGGGATGGCCAAAGACCACCAGGTCTCGGCTAAAACCCAGCAGGTTTCGGCAGAAACACCGGATGGACACCTGGACGCTTTCTCGCAGACGCGCCTCAGCAGCTTTGGAGTCAAGCCCGGAGGTGGGCTCGTCCAGTACCAGCACCCAGGGCTTCTTCAAAAGCTCCACGGCCTCGATGACTCAATGGACTTGATCCAGTTCTGGGGTCGGTTTTTGTGGTGGGCAACCCCCAAAGCTGGCGCTTTGCCGTGTAAGCCAAAGAAGGTGTAGGGAACTATGCCAGGCCCTGTGTGTCAAAAGCAGGGCAACCCCGAAAAATGGCGATGTCCGGGCTTGGGTCGTTTTTTGGTAACCCACAAATGGCGATTTGCGGGTTTGGTGGAGGGAACCCAACCAAAAAGTGATAGAGGTCGGGCCCCCCAAAAATGGCGCAACGTGGTGTTGTTTTTTGTTTTGGCTTGCCGTTAAAGCCAACCAACCAGGGAGGGGGCCCGGCCCATCTGCAACATCCATGGGAAAAACAAACACCAACGACAAAAAACAAAACAGCGACTGGGGCACAAGGCAAGGCTGACCCGGCGGCGCTGCCCGCCAGACCTGGACTGCAGTCGCTTCTGTCGACGCCCAGACGCTGAGGCGCTGAGGCTCCGCACACCCCGCGAATAAGTACCCCATCCCCGACCTGGCTGTGGGTCAAAACCAGTGGGATGCCATTTTGGGGTAGGTGAATTCACCACCCATTTTAGAACCTGTTCACTGGGGGGGTACCCGGGCTGTTGACCCATCCCCAACCTGGTCTTCGTGGCTCGCAGCGAGGGCTGACTTCCGGCCTTGACGTCTTGGCAGGCGTCAAGGCCCACCTGCTCAAGGAGCGCTCGGACCTGGCGCGCGACCCCCACACCCAAAAAGCCGAAGGCCAAAGGCAAAAGGCACGTTTGTCTAGGGGTACCTTCCATTTCCATTCTGAACCCAGGGATCCGAATCTTTTCAGGAAACCATCAGAAACCCATGTTGGAAACAGAGCCGGTTTTTGAAAAGAAAGATGGTTGAAACGAATGGGGAATAAACTACCTAGTTTTGCAAGAAACGCGATGAACACGGCGTGAGGGCGGGGCGTGGTCCTCTCTGGAAGTCTTCGTCCCCAAACCTCTGCCTGCACCCCGGCAAACGCCACATGCTGCGCTTCCGTCTGAGTCGCGAGCCTTGATACAGGCTAGCCGCAAAGCGCAGCGTCTCCTTGACCTTCCACGGCTGTTGCGCATGGAAGGCATAGGCCCAGCAAATTGCATGTCTTCCAAATCCGTTTCAAGCTTGCCCGCGTTCTCATCCATGAGCCTCCTGCTCGGAAGCGTCTTGTGTGCGCTTTGCATTGCCCAACTGCAATATTGTACCAGTGTTTTTTGCATCAATTGACATTATGGCTACATTAGAAAGGCTTTTGCTTTATATTCTTTACTACATCACATATTGTGGATGGACGCGATCCTGCACCATCTAAGAAGCCTTGGATTGATGGATTCCCCTGTATATACATACCAACAAACGATGGTTTCCCATGGAACGGATTTCCTCCATCCACAGCAACACCACGAGCTGGACACCTGAGATACTCGCCGTGAGGGAGGCGCAGCAAGCATCCGACTGCGCCACGTAGGCGCAGCTCGAGCGAAATAAAGCGTGATCCTGCGGTTCTTCTGGTGGTTCCATCCGTCCGATATGCTGACAAGTGCGGGACGTCAGCTTCACTCGCTTTTTGGTGGTTTGGAGATTCCTTCTTCTTTTTTTGGTGAAATGGAGGGGTTTCCCATATTTACCCCCGGGAAGCAGAGCTGCAAGTCCCAAGCCAATCCAAACCAGCAACCTGACGGGCTTCCTGAGCGAGCGGCACCGAAGAAAAAACACACACACACACACACACACACCACACAAACCACACAAACCCGGGCACTGTCCAGCTCCATCCCGTTGAGGAGCACTTGCCCACTGCGGCGTCCCTGTCGTGGCTCTAGCGCCACCTCAAAGGGAGCGTCCACCGCAGAAGTGGACCCCGCCCCACACGCTGGACTGCTGGACGCTGGGTTTTGGAGTCCCCCGTAAACATGAACCCCCCAAAACCGCTGGTGTTTTTGGAGTAACCCGAACAAAAGAGCGGGCCGATGCGGGCCGCTCAACATGGTTTGGCTTGGCCAAGCTGATGTTACATGATCGCTATAGGGAAGCCACGCAGGGGACCCGTTCCAGAAAGTAACCCAAGGATTCAGGATTAAGGATTGGCTTTGAACAACCCAGTAAAAAGGAGAGAGGGCCAACTGACGGCAGAAAAGAGAACAGCCCCCACTTCTGCATTGCAGACTTGAAGCCCGCAATGCAGCCCACTAGAAATCTTCTCTTTTGCCTGAGTGTCAACTATTTTTAGTAGACGCTTTCATCGGTTACAAGCCCCAGCTTCTTAAAAACATGGTGCAAGCTGGAACTTGTGTGGCTCACTCCTCCCAGTTCACAATGAAATTGATGGATACTGAGGATGCCGCGTTGTCCAACAGCGTGGTTTTGCCAGCGCCAGAGCCACCGACAATTGCCAACACCTAACGCATCCAGCTCGAAAAATCCCACGTCCTCCGGAATGGCTGCATCCAAATGCAGAAATATGTGCAAGGCCAACGCGAGCTCGCCGCATTTTGACAGATGGCCGCGCGTCTCCGAATTGGCACCTCTTTGGGCGTTGGGATGTCTCGTGCACAACAGTTTTTTCCCGATACACGACACCGCGCGCTTTGCAATGAGAAAATCAGAGTTATTTCGTGCGTCCGGCGCGGGCGTGAGACGCCTTTGCAGGCTCTCCCGGCCCGCGCTAGTCGCCGTTACGGCCCTCAGAGTCAGAGGTGTAGCAGACGTCGTCGCCGTCGCTGGAGTCGGAAAGGTCCACCGGCAGCTCTTCGAACAACACCTGGATGCCGGCCTGGCCGTCCGTCCCTTGAACCTTTTCTGGGGACCGAGCTGGCCACTGCTCTGATTCTTGCTTTGTTGTGACATAACTCATGTGAGTGGTGACCAACAAGAGGACCGTGTTTGGGAGTCGGTCAATATTATTGCTTCCGGGTAACGTCGTCTTCGCGAGAAAGAACTCTCTTTCGAAATCTGTCGAGACCCATCGGCGCGCCCTTTGTTTGCAACTTGCGCCCTGGAACTTTCTGCTCTTCCAGCCGCGCTTGCAAACGCAATAGCGACACCGCTTTCGCGGGCTCCTGAGTGTCGCATTCAGTGCGTGCCAGCGGCTTCGCTCGCTGGCAAATTCGCTCAGCAGTGTCGGTCAATAGTGACACTGAGCATGCTGCAGTAGTTCTGACAGGCATGAATCAGATTGAATCAAACATCGTGCTCAGAGGCTTCATGCAGACGCGTGCTAAGTGTTGCTGCACTGAAAAAATGTCAGTTGCAAAGGGGTTCAAAACGATGCTTGGGAGCTTCCTTGCAAGTGCCGTTTACAATTCATTTGTCAGAACTGGGCTGTTCCCAGATCCCCCGCTAAACGTCGAGAGCTCTTCGTGGCTGACTGGAATCTGCCGCTAAACCCTAAAAAGCTAAAGGCCAAAGAGGTGGGCACCAAGAGGCCATGCTGCAAGGTAAGACAAAATGCGCAGACTTGGCCAACAGTTGTTTTGCGCGTGAAATCCGTTCGCACCACGAAATGAAACAATGATTGAAACTACATTGGCATTTCCAGGAGAATCATCAATCCAAGGTTTCTGAACAGTGCCTAAGCGGATTTCGCAACCGTCCGCAGTATGGTGGAGGCTCCATTTTGCCCCCTTGCTTTTGGTGGCAAACATAATTTCAGAATCACAGCAACTGGTCACAAAAAGGGGGTTGACCATAGATGTCCTTTTGGGGGAAATAGATTGTAGATGAGTAAACCACCTGGCAAACCAGGAATCGAAACCCATCTATTCTTTTGCAACAACCAAAAAGGACATGAGCCAAAACAACCAAACAAATCAATTCTTTTGCCAAAGCAACCACTAAAAGGACACTTATGGGGTTGACCCAACGGGGCGCCCCCGTTCTCGGGCTCGACGGTGTTTCGCGCTTCGCGCTTCGCTCGCCCGCCTTCCGCGCCCAAGAGTTCACTCGCACGTCCAAGAGCAGCATGGCAAAAAGCGCCAAGGCCACGGCGGAGAGGAAGTGCCACACGTCGTGCAAGTCAAAAATGTCGAAGACGCAGTCCTCACCGAAAAAAACATTTTGGCTGACTGTGGCTGACCTTTTTTTCGCAATTTTCTTGCGTGTTCTGGCTTTTCTTGCATTTTCTTGCATGTGTGCCTTGGATTCTTTGGCATTTTTGGGAGATAGGACCTGCTGTGGGACGATTAGCATGCACGCGCGGGCTAAAACGGGGTCAATGACTTCAAACACGCAGAAAAATCAAGTCTCATTTGTTCACTTTGTCATTTCCAAAATTGTTGTGCTGTTGAGGGGCATGGCCCTGGGGCCCTGGTTGGCTTTCATCAACTGATATCAGCATGCTGGCCTAGCATGTAAGATTCAAGATGTTGGCTGAATGCTTCTCCGAAACGGCAGTTGTTCCAAGACGTGCTCAATCCTTGGCAAAGCCTTCGATTAATTCAGCAGCCCAAAGCAAATCGTACAATAAAATCAAATCTACGGGGTGCGCTTCCTCCCAGATTAGAATAGTACGTTTGCTGCGCTGCATGTTGTACCAGTGCCACTCGATTGAAGTGTCTACTCGCCACCATGTTTGCTGATTAAATAGTCATTTCTCTGTGGCAGTGAGGCCATGACAATCATGTTTTACATATGACATGCAGACACATCTTTGGACGCAGTGCTTCAATGCAAGATGCTCACACCTACGCAGACATGCACCTGGCAAATGCGTCAAAGGCATAGTCTGGGCTGCACTCTGCAGCCGTTCAGCGTGATGCGACACGCTTCGGTCGATGCAACTGAAATATGTGCTTGACATGTTCAAAAAACAAAGGTCTTGATTGGAAGAGCTTGAATGAGCAAGCTTTGGATTCACCGCATCAAGTGAGCAGTTGTCTGTTATGCAAAATGAGTTGTGTATTTCAAGCGAGCCCGAATAAAAACCCACAGGCACATGGTCCTATTTGTTTCCTAGCTTTCATTGGACGGTTCCTAGCATTTGTTTCCTATTTGTTTCCTAGCATTTGTCGGGCCATATCATTTTTTGGCTTCGCAGTGCTCCGGCTTTATGGTAGTGGTTCACTTCGCCACACCTATGGCACCAACAGGAAGTCCACAGACGGCTCCCTAGCTTTGCCTTGCAAATTCAGTCGCTATACTGTTGGTCTCTTCTCACACGCGAAGATAACTTTGACGATTCGTACAGCGAGCGGCAATTTGGCTATTCATAAATGAGGGCCAGCTGCAACCATCAAACGCTGCCGCAGTAAGCAATTCCAACCACACTTTTAATACGCATTACAGGGATGCCATTGCCAATGTTCGCCGGGGTCGACGTCCATTGACTCTCATCTTAACTTTGCTTTCAAGATTCTCTTGGCTTCTGGTCCTGCTACCAACCCGCATGATACATCTCCTGGGCGGCAAGATGTTCCTTCGCGTGCACCAATTCAATAGAGGAATGTCACGCGATTCTGGCGGCATTGTGTGCACAATGGTTCCTAAATCGAACAACATAGCTTCACGCGGTGAAGAACCGTGTGTATCGTGCACACTTTGGGTGGCGTCAAAGGCCCCAGGAGTGAAGAGGGAGCAGCACAGGGTGTTTAGTTCCGGACACCGGTTGGCGACGTTGTGTGCGAGAGTATCGTTTTGGCGTTCAGGTGTCCTAAACTTTCTACAGGAGAGGATTGAACAAGGGCAGCATGCAGCGTGTATGGAACAAATCCAAAACCTTACGCATATGTAATATCATATACATGTGGGATACGAAATGAAAGCCATATGCAACAACCGAAAGAAGTTAAAAAGGTTGCGGACACTAAGTGAAGGTAGTACGTCCGTGCCAGTAGATGCGCGCGACTCACGCAATCTGCGCCGAAGTGCTGCCCGGGTCCGGCTTGCAGGAGACCATGCTTAACCCCGCGCACGCATGCATTCATTCCTTCTTTGTCCCAGATGTGCGCCAAACTACTGTGGATGGACGAAGTTGTTTGTTGGCATGTAGAGGGGAATCATCCTTGTAGGGTGTCCTAGGTGGTGCAGGATTTCGTCCATCCACAGCATGTTGTGATAGGCGCAACACTTTCGCAAGGTCAGGCGCAGACTTCCTCGTGCGGGATGTTGTGGGCGCACTTTCGTGTGACATTTCGTGGCTGCTAAACAAAAACGGTAGATAAGTATGCAAAAAAACGTAGACAAATAGATAAACGGAAAGAGGCAGAGAAATAGATAAATAGACACCGGTAGTTAAATAAGTAGTTTTTCTACTCGGATTGATCAATACCAAAAACAGATTGACAAACAAATAGACAGGAGTGATACATTAGATAGATAGATAGATGAACAAAAAGACGTAGATAGACGAATAGATAGATAAACGTTTACATGAGTAGAGAGGTAGATAGAATGTAGTAGAGAGGTAGGTAGGAAGATAGAACAATACATTGTTAAATGTGAACACGTGAAAGAAAGACCAGATAGAGACGACAGGTTGCGTTAGTCGAGCCGGCAAAGCGGAAGTGTCAAACATATGAGAGCTCTGTCACTTGTGCGATCTTTCTCTTTCTCCTGTTGTAGTCTTCCCGTGCTTCTTTCTCTGTCTCTGCCTCGTCTCCTTTCCTTTTCTATTCATCTTTTTCTCCCTTTCTCTATCCTGCATACACATCTATCTTTCTACCTATGTCTATAGTCTATCTAGCTAGCTATTGATCAATTGTCTACCTTGCTGTCTGCCCCTCTATCTATGTAGCCATCTGTCTACCTATTCACCTATCTATCTATCTATCTCTGTACCTCTCTTTCTCCCTACGCCTCTATCTCGCTATCTCTCTATCTCTGTTTCACTGTGTCTCTGTCTTTTTGCCTCTCTCGTTCTTTTAGTTTTCTGGGCAGCTAGCTAACTTTCCGTGCGTCTAATCATCTGTCTATCTATCTATCCATCCATTTATCTATTTGTCCATCTTGTGCATATCTAGAGTCGCCTTACGAAAGTGTTGCGCCTGTCACGAAATCTTATCGCCGCTGAGCCTGCTATGCTGCGACCGTCTACGGCCACAGTTTCCCACCAAAGCAAGCTTAGAAGACAGTTGCATAGTGGTGGTGCTAAGCGAAGGCTACCAGTCGTTGAAAAGTAGGCGAGATCGGAAAGAAACGAGAAGAAACGTGAAGAAGAAAAGAGAGGCAAAGAGAAGCGACAAGAGTTCAGACTGCGTGACAGGCGCAGCACTTGGGGAGAGAAAGTGCGCTTTCAGGAGAAATATGTATAGATAGACGGGTACATAGATAGATAGATAGATAGATAGATAGATAGATAGATAAATCGATAGATAGATATGGATGGATGGATGGATAGATAGATAGATTAGATAGATGGATTAGATAGATAGATAGATAGATAGATAGATAGATAGATAGATAGATAGATAGATAGATAGATAGATAGATAGATAGATAGATAGATTAATTAATTAGATTAGATCGATAGATAGATTAGATAGATAGATAGATAGATAGATAGATAGATAGATAGATAGATAGATTAGATTAGATTAGATTAGATTAGATTAGATTAGATTAGATTAGATTAGATTAGATTATATTAGACAGATAGATAGATAGATAGATAGATTTAGATAGAAGGATATATAGATAGATAGATCGATGTAAATCAAAAGATAGAGAGTAGGTAGATTAAAAGTGAGAGGATAATGACAGAGAGATAGATAACTAAATAGATATAACTAGAGAGAGAGAGAGAGATTCACAAGAAAAGATGGGCAGATAAGCAGATAAATAGATGAACAAATGCATAGAATGGCTTTCTTGGCAGGGGCAGTGCTTGCAAATGATGTAAAGAATGCATGGACGGATGGATAGCTGGATAGCTGGATAGCTAGATAGCTAGATAGCTAGATTTTGCGATTAGACAGGCAGAACAATAGAAAAACAGATAGATTAAAAACAGAGTGGGATTAGACTTGATTAGGTGGACAGGCAAATAAGGGCGCGGTTAGATAGAGAGAAACTGAAATTATAAAGATTAGACAGCTAGCTAAAAAGATAAGCAACATAATTACATGGATAGACACATCTAGATCGATCGATAGATAGATAGGTAGATAGGCACGTAGGTAGCTAGGTAGGTAGGAAGATAGGTATGTAGGTAGACAAGTTGATCGAGAGACAGGCAGGCAGGTAGGAAAATAGAGACAAAAATAAAAATGAAAGAGAACAAACGGCAACAGAGAAAACAAGAAAAAAAGAAACAGAAAAGGGAGGAAAAAGAACGAGCAAAGACAGAGAAACCTGAAGCGCGAAACACGAACCAAAGGCAACATAGCTATAGTTTGGGTGTTTTTTGGAAACATCCGATAAACAGCTCTGCTAATTAGCTCCTCCGGTACTGACTCACTGATCCGGACCAACTGCACGATTATTTGGAGGGATGCAACTCCGAAATCCATGCAGAGAGTCTTGTACTGGATGGCCATCGCAAGTTCTAGCCTCCACCAAAGTCTGCGAGCTTTCTGCACGCGACAAAGCCGCTTTCTTCCAACACCTGCAATAAGAACTGGATCCCCCAGCTTACAGGGCCTACGCCATTGCTACCATCTTTCTGCCTGCGCCAGTCTTTTCTGGTGCCGCGAGTCCTGATTGAAGTTGCGGCTCTGCGCCGGGGTGATCTCTGGCTCGACCAGTACCACCTTCTTCGCGAAGCACTTCAGCGCCAGGACGGCCACCGTGATCATGATGAGGCCGTAGAAATGCTTGATCACCTAATGGATTTCTAGGGGTAACTTCCATATCCATTCTGAATCCAGGGATCCTTCTTTCTAGAAAACCACCGAAAACCTTGGGGAAATTGCGGTTTTTCTTTTTTTTAAGGAACGATGGCTGAAAAGAATGGGGAATCAACCCCTAGAGGATTAATAAACCCGTCCCATTATTAGGGGGGTGTTCCAAAAGTGATGAACCCCCACTAAAAGGGGCCACCCGCTATTGATCAACCCGGGGTTTACTAATCCGGGGCTAACATTAACAGTTTAACAAGACTGCGGAGAAGTCATGGAAACTCCAGATCTCCGTTCCTGGAAGTTGTTGCAACTCTCTCGCCTATTCAAAAACATCAAACACTAAGAGCGCCACCCGCGCTCCAATGTGACGCATTTGGCACGTCACATAGCGAAAGTCTTCCAAGTAGAGCTGCCGGCCGATGACAACAATCATGACCACCTGACAAGAAACGAAGGCAAGGAACGCGTACCGCGCCTATCTTCTGGCAACTCATGCCAACATAGTTGCCTTCACTGGAAAATCCCGGCTGAAAACCCTCCCGATTCAAACTTGATAGGTCTGCAAACATTGTGATCTTTATGGCTTGGCCCACATAGGCTGGTCTTGGCAGTTTTTCAGCGGTGGATTTTGGCGACCCACCACGGAGAGCTCCAAGAACAGGTTGGCTGTTCCAGAAAAGTACACCACGCGCACATTTGGAAATAGAAATGCCACAGCGATGCAAATGACGAGCAACACCTGCAGGGCGCGCTTGGTAATGTGACCAGCGCGGCCAGGAGACTGCACAATGCGCCGCATGCCGGCCAGCAACACAACGGTCGCCCAAAGGATGACAAGAGCTGCATATATCCAGTATATCCAGCCTATGGGGAATACCCCGATGTCGTACCAGGTGCCGATGAAATTCACAAGCCAAACCGGCGTCAAAATGTAAACAAAATACTTCAGGGCAGTGATCTCATCATGGCCCGAGTGGTCCCAGTCCAGCAAAGCGAGCGTCAGCAAGTTGGCGATTGGGATCATGAAGCAGGTGTCAAATTGGAAAGTCTCCACAGACGGGCACAAGTGATAGCACATGCTGCCAACGCCTTCGGCTGCAAATGAAACGCCTATGGCATAGAAGGCGCGCAAGTCGATCTCCTTGGCTTGCTTCACAAAGTCACATTCTCGAACCACGCCCTCGCTCTGTGTGTCCAAGCGCCTGAAGGCTGCGTCCCACTCAGATTTCTCCAGGCAGCCATCTCCATTGGCATCGATCCAGTCAAAAGCAATCGGATTCTTATACTGATACTTCCACTCTGCCCGTGAGACACGGCCACTGCGGTTTCGGTCGGCCTCGCTGAAAAAGTGCTGCCAATGAGAAAATCGGATGCACCCGTGTTCTGCAGCATCCATGGATCGAAACAAAGCAGACATGGCACGTCGAGAGAAGGTCCGGCAACGTGTTTCTGCATAGAATGCCTGCAAAATGACATGCGCCCCTGCAACAAAATAGCCCAGGTTCGAGATGGCGTGATTCCACGGAATGTCCCAAACCATTCCAGGGTAGTAGCACTGGTCATTGTAGAAGCAAATGTCGCGGTTGCCAGAACGGATCATGAGACCATAGTGTGTGATGACAAACTGGGCGGCTGTGGCCAAAAACACTCCCACCATGAGACTGAGCAATGCCTTGGCTGCTGTTGACCCCCCTGCAAAAGTTTAACTTTTTGCGGGGTTTAGCGGAAACGCCTCGATTTCCAAAAAAATGAAGTCTAAAGAACCAACCCAATAGCAGTCAAGATACTGGAAAGAAGGGCAGCGGCTGTGCCACCTTCATCGCCTTGTCCCGCATCATTGAGACATGATCCCGGCCGCACACGCCGATAATGACCTCACTTGGCCAGTGACCAGCCCAAAAAATGCGTTTTGGGCCACCACTGAACAAAGGGAGAGCCACCAAGCACAAAAGTGTAAAGTGTGTCCATTGGCTGGGCGAGTAGCAGGCCACAAGCGATTGGTGGTGCCTGCGTTCTCTTCTGTCTCAGGGCTGCATTTGTTGAGAATGAAATACGCCAACCAGTACAGTGTGTTCACAGAGAAGAGGATTAGAAACATGCCTAGGACTGCCAGCAGCGTTCCCCAAATCAGTTTCCATCTCAGCCGGTACTCTGGATATGACTCGACGCTGAGCAGTGTAGCCGGGCAGTCCCTGTCATGCCTACACATAACGAAGAGGATCCAACGGCCAGGCTGAAGGAATGGCAAGGAGCCCCTGCTCAGTGTCAAAGTTGCCTGCGATTGAAAGCTTTGATGCCTTGGAAGGGCTTTCTAAGACATGCACCTAGGCGTTTGAACAACTGGAAACTCAGACATGCAAAAGGGCAATGCTCTGCAAATGTTACGCGAAAAACAGGGATCCTTACACTATACACCTGAACATTGCCTTATAAATGGTGGTTTCCCTTTATTTTGGTGTTGAAAAAGCCATGTTTCAAATGGTTGCAAAATGTATCTTCGCAACAAGAAGCATGGCAACCTTGGAGCTCGCTGTCTTCTCTGGAGCTCGGAAAGACACGGGGACGGACTTCACGCAGGTTTGGACTTGAGTAAAATCAAAGCAGCCTCCGTTGGTCAAGACGTCCGAAACACATTCGGAGGACTCTGGCATCAAGTAAACATCGGAGGTTGGAAACTCTTTGCCATTCAAGTCCTCGAGAACATGGGGTTGGATGCGCAGCCTCCAGAGGTCAATGTCCGCTTCGTCAGGAATGGTGAACATATGGAAAGCTGACCCTCCCCATATGCTGCCATAGGTGAGCGTGAAATTCCGCTGACCCCAGTGGGGGCTTGACTGCGTTTTGGCCACGAGATGCACATTAGCGCTGTACTCGCTCTCAACCGCCGCTGTAAAAAAAAGGCTACCTGCTGGCGGCCCTTCGCTTTGGACGCAAAACAAAACAGCATGAATCCGCTGATCGCCGCATTCGCCAGTTTCATTTAGCCGGCCCTCCTGATGAAACCACACATAATTGCTCAAATATCCGAAAACCGCCTCAGTCTTCCTCTTCTGCAAGCACTCGCTGGCATTGAAGTCGCTGCTGCTGGGAGAAGCTAGGGACATATTCCTCACTTGGCCAGTGACCCAGCCCCAAAAAAGTGCACACTTTTTGGGCCACCACTAAAATAAAGGGAGAGCCACCAGGGAAAAAAGAAAAGTGTAAAGTGTGTCCACTGGCTGGCTGAGATTCACAAAGATCTCAAAGGCATGGCCTAAGGCATGCGGATCCGAGGCGTACATGTAGAATCGAGCATTGTTGCTCTCACCTCGGCCACAAAAATTGGGTATGCGTTAACCCCGGATTTTGCAGAACCCCTGGTTGATTAATTGGGGGGGTGTCCCTGGTTTTGGTGGGAATCATCCCTTTTGGAGGAAACACCCCCATATTAATGGGACGGGTTTATTCATCCTGGCTCAACATTATGGGTCAAACCACCGGGAATATGACTGCAGGTTTTAGTCCTTGGTTCCAAGTAGCACGGTTCCATTTCGGGCACTAATCTTTGACCCATAGCCATTCAGAAACCCTGGTTTGATGATTTCTGTAAAGACCAACAAACATCATGGTTTTGACCATGGTTTGAAAAAGTGGTGTAGTATTTCGTCCATCCACAGTAGGGCGGCGAAAACTGGCGCGTGAAAAACCAAGGCGCTCAGTTCAGCATCACAGCGGAAAACATCTCCGCGGCCAAGAGTCTCTCGACGACATGCCAAGGCCAGTGGGAGCAGCAAATGCAGCCTGACCAGCATGGCTGCCCGGCCCCCACTCATGCTGCAAGACTTACAAGCTTGTGCATAGAGTTAACACTGACTGAGAGTTTTCTGAGAGTAAAATTAGAGAGGTTTGTTACCGCCAAACTGTTGGCATGCCAGCTCTTGGCCTCTTCATTCTTCTTCATTGTTGGCTACCGTGTGCCTCTGCCATTCCGAAGCTTGATCCCGGGCGAGCGTTGACATGAACCAAGTGCCACGCCTCTTGGGAGGCTGCCTCACCCCAGCCCCCGAGCCCCCCGAGCCCCTCCCATACCATACTCGCACCTCACCATTGCGGACATGCGCCGTGATGTCTTTCAGCAAATCCTCCGGGGCGGCCATGCCTTCATTGATTCATTTCATGACGTCCATGCGCGCATGCGGCTGGCCATGCCAATGTCATGCTCTATGCTGAGTGCGGACGGCCCTCTAGACGGTTCGTGTCCTTGCGTACGCCCCTGGCAGCAGTGAACAGGAATTCTGCACAGGTCTGAGCAGGTCCTTCTTTGGCTATATGGCAATGGCTCGAAAACATGTACCAAAGTGGCACCTTGGTTGGAACCAAAGACTCAAAACCTGCGGTTTGCCCTACCTCTTTAATCTTGAGTCACACCCACACCCTTTGGCAATATTTGGATTGTATTGGCTACTAGGTCCCCCAGTACTGCCCTTTTGACCCTTTTTTTGGGGAGGGTTCCCCTACTGAACTAGACTGCAGAAAAAGATCGGGTACCCTCATTCTAACCTCAAAATACTGGAGGACCTAGGGGCCACATTTGCTGTTGAAATTTTGGTCCTTCCTTGGCTCTTCTTGCATTTCATCAAGCTCCAAGGCTGGGCGCCTGGACTCCACGTAGAAGTTCAAGTTCCCTCAGCGCGAAGGCCGGGGCCCACTCGACTCGTCAAAGGCCCGCAAGCTATGCGTTGCTCTCAGGTGCTTAATCGGTTTTTCGTGTTTTTCCCTTGTTGGTTTGAAAGGGGATCTATACTGCTGGAAGCATGTTTGCATCTTTCGGATTATTTCATGGACACTAAGCCGCGCGACGGATTCGAAGCTCCAGCTCTTTGTCGTACGAATGCCGCCCGTTCATTTCCTCGCATGGATTTCTTCGAACTCGTGCTTGTTGCAACATACCCAGGCTGGAGCGAACTCTGACTATGGAGCGTTGCTTCAAAAGCAGCTTGCGTAAGCACTGCGGAGATGACTTTGCCAGTGCTGATGAGCAGCTTTTTCCTCAAGCCGGACCGCCAAGTCCTGCTCAACCTGGGCAAAGCGCTTTCGGGATTCTAACGAAAACCGTTTCGTTTCTCAGCCGTATGTACACAATATGAATCACTTACCACTCTGGTTTCACCCGCTGACACTTGGATCGGGGTTGCTTTCATGTTGCTTTAGGATTGGTTCAGGGTTCCTTTAGGGTAGTTACATTTAGGTTGGGTTTTGGTTGTGATTGAAATTGGCCTCGAGTGCGTGTTGGACTAAGGTCGGGTGAAATGAGCAATGCTAAAGGTTCAAAGCGCTAAAGGTTACTGGTAGGAGTTGGTCAATCCAGGATGCAAAGGTTCCTCTGGGGGTTGGCCTATGGCTTCACTCTGGGCAAGGCTTCGGTCGTGGACTGGCTCTGAGGAATTGCGGCCTACAGGTTGGTATGCTGCGAGCTGAAACACAAAAGCCTTAAAAGGCCGCGACGAGAGCCGAACACTCACAATTCAGAAGGTAGGTCAAACCCGAACCCGAACCCAAAAACACAAAATAAAATAAACTAAGGAAAGAAAGAACCCATGAATAATGACTGACTGACTGACTGACTGACTGACTGACTGACTGACTGACTGACTGACTGACTGACTGACTGACTGACTGACTGACTGACTGACTGACTGACTGACTGACTGACTGACTGACTGACTGACTGACTGACTGACTGACTGACCTGACTGACTGACTGACTGACTGACTGACTGACTGACTGACCAAGCAAGCAAGCAAGCAAGCAAGCAAGCAAGCAAGCAAGCAAGCAAGCAAGCAAGCAAGCAAGCAAGCAAGCAAGCAAGCAAGCAAGCAAGCAAGCAAGCAAGCAAGCAAGCAAGCAAGCAAGCAAGCAAGCCAGCCAGCCAGCCAGCCAGCCAGCCAGCAAGCAAGCAAGCAAGCAAGCAAGCAAGCAAGCAAGCAAGCAAAGCAAGCAAAGCGAGCAAGCAAGGCAAAGCAAACCAAAGCAAAGCAAAGCAAAGCAAAGCAAAGCAAGCCAAACAAAACAAAGCAAAGCAACGCAAACCAAGCAAGCAAAGCAAAGCCAAGCCAAGCAAGCAAAGCAAAGCCAAGCCAAGCAAAGCAAGCAAAGCCAAGCAAGCAAAGCAAAACAAGCAAAGCAAAGCCAAGCAAGCAAAGCAAAGCCAAGCAAACTAACGACAGTCCAAAAGGCTGACTAAGGTTCGGCCCCAACTGTTTGTGTCAATCTGTGTCACCTGGTCTGAGGGCCAGGCCGGAGCAACACCTCGCTACAGAGTGGTCCTAAAGGCCCAAGCGAGGTGACCCAATAAGGCCCGTACCATCCAGGGCAGTGGTTTCAGCATGCAAGACCTGCAAGCCCGCCAAACAAAAAGAAAAAGCCAAGCCGTTTGGATCGCATTGCCAGCGGTCAGCGGCGTGTTCTTCCCATTTTTCCGGCGCGGCACAGCAACCTTGGCATAGATAAGCCCTCAGACTGCGGAGATGCTATTTCTTTTGCTTCCCATTTTGTCCGGCGCGGCGCGGCGATCTCGGCATAGATCAGCCCTCAAACTCTGCCGAGATGGAGATGTGGCGAGCTGATTGGCTGCGGCATGTTGGATCTGACATCCAGTCACTTTGCACCCGACCCCAGCGTTGGCCGCTCCGGCGCATAGGCCGGAAGTGATTGCTTTCCTGGCCGATCATCATCTTGGCCTCAAACGTCTCTCACTGCAGCTTTGGCCAAGCTCAAAAGCTCCGCAATGTCGGATGGAAAGTACCGCGCCTCGATGTCCTCCGTTCTTCGCCTCTTGGCGCCTCCCTGGGCGTCCTCGCCATCCTCGCCCCCGAAGCGCTCCACGACGCCGCGGTCCAGGAAGAACCGCATGCCTCGAAGCGGAGCGCCGGGAGGCGGCGTGAGCTCCACGCAGAGCTCCGGGAGCCCGGTGCTCTGCGGCGCGAGGCGCAGGCGCAGCCGCGCCGCGCCGTCCAAGCGCTCGCCAAAGGGCAGCCAGCACTGCGCCCAATGCGTGGCTGCGGCATGCGGCGAGGTGGAAAGCACCAGCTGGTGCTCGGCACAGCACTGCAAATCGAACCAGCCCACCAGGCCCGAGGCACCCAACTGCACTGTGCAAGTGACAAAGAGGTCCTCCAGGCTGCAGGTGTTCAAGTCTGCCTCCAGCACAAGCTGCGGCGTCCCACGCAGCTGCTCGCTGCGGATGACCTTGGCAACCGGCGCCGACAGGAAGGGAACCCTGGCATCTAGAATGCGGTTTGGATGCGGCTTTTGGGGATCCGCCCAAGTACTAAAAGATGACTAAAAAGGGTCAGGGGGAAGAACAGGTCCGCACAAAGCGCAAACCGGTTCTATAGATGCCATACCTGTACATCCCCTTTTTCGCGCTGTGTGTGTGTGTGTGGCTTTGGGCTAGCCGCCGCAGGCCCGCATCGCCCGTCACCTTCACAAGGCTGCACCCAGATTCGCAGCAGCCCAGGCAACATGTGAGGCTTGGGGTCGAAAGCATCCCGGCAGTGCAACAAAGGTCGAACCATGCCCTCGTTCAGCCCCATGATGCCAAGCCATTCCTTAGTATGCGGGATGGCCAAGGAAAGCAATCGCCCCCCTCAGGACAAACAAACATAGGCTGACAGATCCAAGTGGCTGAAATGATAAGTTGCACATGCTGCGGCCAACCATTGGGCTGCTTGTCAAGGACCTCCTCCACAAAGCCGCAGTGCACTTCCACCTTGTCGCGGTCCTAGAAACATGATCGCACGAAACCACAGCGTTGCAATCCGGCTTCTTCTTCCTTGCTCCCTGACTAGAATCCTGCCTTGCTTGGTGGGTGTCAAACACACACACAGAGACACGCAAGGACACACAAACACACAAACACACACACACACACATGGACTTTGCAGTACTTGCCATAGGTGGGGCCTGACGCCAGCATTCTGTAGCATTGGGAGCGAACAACATAACATATCCACTGCCTGGTCTGAGTACTCATTGCTTCTAACACTTCAGTCAGTCAAACCACGCGTGTTGAGAATGCCTACAGGGCTCCACTATGAAGTCCGCCTACGGACCCCACTCGACTCGAATCTCGATGCTCGCCTCGGGCTCTAAGGTGGCTTCCAGCACTCGTGGGATCAAGCGGCAGACCTCCGGCAAGGCCTCGCGGAGGCGGATTTTCTTTCGCCAGCTGACCTCATCACACCATATCACACCTGAGCCTTGAGAGGGCAGAGCCTGGTCACCTTGGCAACCGTACCCTGGCTACGAGCTGGGTGTTGATCCATAGTGAAACGCCACTACGACATTGAGCCTTGAGATGGGGCCTCACGGCCTCACTGTCGCATCTCGAAAAGGTTTTGGGCAGAAAATGTAGTGGCGTGCTGGGTTCGCAGGGCTGGTTGGCCGATGTTCTGTTCACGCTCTAACTTTGGTTTGAGGCTCGGTGCCATAGAATTAATTCTTGCGACTGTGGGATGGGGAGCGCGCCAATGGCATCTAACTTTTCCCAAGTTCAATTTGACGACCCCAGTTAGTCAGCGTCTTCACGGGTATTCTTTTGACGACTTGAAAATCAGTGGGGCAAGCCTATGCCGTAGCCACTGGATGCAGCATGTTCCACTTGTGTCATACAATTGGTCGGCCTGTGCCGTCTGGGGGTTGCAAACGCACGAATAGAAAACAAACAAGCTATACCACTCGCGTCAACACATTTATCAGCTCGTTTTGCCTCGGGATCGGTGAGCTCGCCATATATTATGGAGCTCTATGCATCTATCCCTGCCATCTTCTGCCGGATCCGCCTCCACCGCGCCTCCACCGCGTGAACTTTGCCCAACTTGCCTTGCAGCACAGCCATGGCAGACATGATGCCCGTGCCGGCGCCAACATCGATGGCCACCTGAACAGGTGAAAAACGCCCCGTGGGCACTGGCAGCATTTGGCGTGAGTTCCGTGAGTTCCCAATCACCAGAGAGGCTTACAAAGACCCTGGACACTAGACAAAGCCAAATTGACCCTTGGTCAACTTCCCTGCCTTTTGCGTGAGTTCCCGATTCCCAGCCATGAACTACGAGGCTCGATCCCCCCAAAAATGGACTTCTTGATGCACAAACGCCAAACCACTACCTCACCTACACCCCACGATGGGAATCCCCCACACACACACACACACTTCCACAATCATGTTGACTGTCGACTCGGCAAAAACAAGGGTGACAGTTCAGAAATGTTCAGAACTTGCACTCAACGAGATTATCTGTGACAAAGCGAAGGGCTGAGCCAGAATTTCGGATTTCGGTCCAAGCTTGGGCCCGCCTGTCCCTTGAGTTCCGGATGCATCAGCAAGCACTGGCCGTAGAAGCGATGCCTGCTGCCGTCTCGCAGCATGGCCACGTGCATCTCGGGGTCGTAGACCGCTCGCAAGTCATGAAGCGACACCGACGGCTCCATGCCATGCTTTGAGCCGCGAGCGGCCTTTGGACGGGCAACGGCTGCGCACATGCGAACCATGAAGCAAGCAGAAGTGAGAAAAACGTCAAACAGCCCAGTGGCTCCCAGCCTCTGGCCGTCCTAGTGGTTGCACTGTCACATTGGCCCGCACGCCTGCCACACGTAATTCTGCCATCGCACTAAACTCAACTGATCACCATGGATTGCAAAGCGTTGAGCAGCTCTACAAAGCCTGGTCCCTCCATGCCGGGCACGACGCCAGGGTTCGGCATGGGACCCAGGCTCTGGGTGCTTGAGCACCGCGCTGCGGCGAACGCCGTTTCGCACTGGCTCACAACTCAGCCACATCAGTTACTGTGCGTGCGACATGACTCATGGCATGCGTGACTCAGCGAGTTGTTTTGGCCCTAGGCGAATTCAGGTGCCCTGCCCGATTTCAGCAGGTCGAATTGGTGACAAGATCCTCCCTACCTTCAGGGGGAGGGCGGGTGGCTAGTTCCCGAATTCCATTTAACTCGTCTTCCCCATAAAGGGAAAGTGGAACCATTAATGGAGATGTCACTCCCCTCCCCCCATTCCATTTTTAAGGGGCTGGGGATGCCGCCTGCCCGCCTGCCTCAGGCCTTGCCCACGCCAGCCAGGCTGCCCATGCCCAGCATGGCGGAGAGCCGCGTGGCAGTGGCCTCGTTCGCCTGTCTTTGGACGCGCCACGGGGTGAGGTGCTATGTGGTTGGTAAGCCTGGTTAGAACCCACTGAAAGGAGCCTGACAACCATGGTAAGTGGGGTATAACGCACCATGGTAAGTGGGGTAGAACCAACCATGCCAAGTGGACCATGGTAAGTGGGTATAACCAACCATGGTTAGTGATTGTAAGTGGGGTATAACCATGGTAAGTGGGTTGTAACCATGGTGAGTGGGGTACAACCATGGTAAGTGGGTTTTTCACCAACGGTTATTGCCCACTTGCTAAGTACCCTCCCCCTTTAAGTAATTGTTTGGGTTGGTGGTTTGGGATTAGAAATTCAGTACCTTTGGAAATTAAACGGGGAAGGTACCCAAGGTCCAAACCACCAAACCACCAAACCGAACCACCAACTAGGGGTAAGGCAAATGGGGGGCTGAGACTAGGCAGACGTAAGGCAAATGGTGAGCGTGCTCGGAGATGGAGATGGGTATGGGTCAAACTTGAAACCACCAGGATATATCTTTCCATTTGCTTTGGTGTTTTCATTTCCCGGGCAACCCATTTTGGGCTCCGATGTTTAACCCACCAGATTGACATCCATGAAGCATAAACCAGAACCCATATGGCCATGGGGCATAACCTATGGCTCCATTTTGGGGTGGATGAACATCCATGTGCCACCTATTTTGACGTTCACCAGGGGTACAGGGTTTTGGCCCACAGCCACATGAGAGTTGATGTTTCTGAGTTGATAAACCAGACCCCATATGTTTTTTTCCTTCAAAGTTAAACCACCAGTAATTGGACCACAGGTTTTGGTCCATGCCACTTACCGGAGTTCCATTTGGGGCCTATTTTTGACCCACAGCCATATTATCTTCGCCTGGGTTTCCTCCACCTCGCGCCGCTGCTGCTCCAGCGCGCGCTCCCTCCGCATGAGCGCCTCCAGGCGCTCCTCCTCCTGACGGCTTTTCTCACCCCCCACCCTCTGTCACCTGGCCTCAGATCCCCTGCCAAAAGCTTGACTTGCGGGTGTTAAGTGGAAACCACCAAAAAAAGAGTGGAAGAGAAGAGCTCAGGAACCTCATGGGCAAGAAAACCACCAAGACATATAAGTGATATGTGCGGGAATGTGAAGCTACTCATGCGACACGGCATCATGGCACGGGGTAGTCAGTCTTGGTTGACGTTGGAAGGGGGGCAAACAAAGTGGTTGGCTTTCAACCACCAAACCACAAGAATGAATAAGCAACAATGTAAAAAATGCTTCTCAACGACAACCATGCAGTCACCCAAGAAATCAAAGTACCTTCTGTGGAGGTACTTCCCCTTTTTACCCCTTTTAACTTCCCCTTTTTACCCCCCCTTTTAGCCATCATGAAGTACCAAGGATGTACCAAGGGACCCTCTGGCTCAGTCGGGTCTCCTCTCTGGCTGCCGCGAGGCGCTGCTTCTGCTCCTCTTGCGCCCGCTGCTGTCGCTCCACTTCCGCCCGCCGCGCCGCGCGCGTGGCCTCGCACGCCGCCTCGCAGCCCTGCTGGTGCTGCCGGAACTCCGCGGCCGCCTCGGGCGAGAACATCATCGAAAGCTGTGCCGTTGGGCCCAAGGAAACATGCTTGGTCTAAGTATGAGCCGTGAAACATGTATACACATGCTAAAATTAATATTGCTATTCTTGCATCATATGCTCATGTAAAAGGAAGAATGATATTGTGTATCCAGTGTTGGTCCCAACATCTGTACGTGCAACTAAAGAGCATTTTGTTTTATCGAGAAACAGGTCCATGGTTTCCACATGCTGGCAGAATTCCAAGGTTTGGTGCTCGCTTCTCTCGAATCAGGCTCTGCCAAACCTAAGCAAAAAAAAAAACGTGCCTCCGCCTCACCAAGCAGATCGCAGGCCGCAGCGCAGCGCGCCAGCGCCTTGATGTTCGTCGGGTCGAGCTGGATGGCCTGAACGCATCCATGCTCAACATGGGAGAGAAAAAACAAGAACGGCGCAAATGCGGCCGTGCACGTCGCAAGATCACATCATGCTGCGATCCGTCGTGATCTCATGCCAGGCAAGAAGCACGCACCCTCAGTGAACCGGTTTGCCTCTTCCATCTGCCATGTCAGTTATCATGGAGGAAGAGAAACATAATCCTCATCATGTTGACCCCACTTTAATCAACCCCAGTCTTTTTTAAGGGTTTAAGGTGTTCCCCTCCAAAATTGATGATTCCCCGGGACACTGGTAATAAACGGGTTGGTCAATATCTCGCTACGACCTGCGGCGAGATCCTTTGGCATTTCGCACACTGCCGCGCCTCACGCGCGCGGCGGAGCGCCTCTGCAGCGCAAGCCTTCCTCCGGTCACCTGCCTCGGCATCTGCCAGCTTCAGCAACGCCTGAAGCAAAGGCACATGGCAACTTCTCCGCCAACGGCAAGCTGAAGCACCCGCAGAATCCGACAAGTGATCCCCGCAAAGCTCGGAAGCGGCGCGGCGCCAAAATTGTTAGCATCAAAAACTCTCTCTTGCAAATTGCACGGGCCTGTGCACACTGCCCCCCTGTACCCGGCCACCCCCCCCCATTTCGCCTGCGCCGCGTTGCTGTGGGCCACAGCTGCCTCGCCATCCGGGGCTGGCTCTGCCAGCGCGGAGTCGTAAGCAGCCACCGCCTCAAGCAACACGACTTTCACGCGTGCGCCCTTGGCACTTTCAAAACAAAGTGCCGAAAGCCGTAGGTACTATAAAATTTGCTTTCGCGGGCGCTGTTCCCCCCAGGTTTGCTTTCGTGGTGCTTTCGTGGCGCTTTCGCGGCGGATGCTGCGAAACACGCCCTTTGGATTGAAACAATCTTCCGCAGGAGCGTGGCAGTGCACAAAAGCCGAAAAAGCAACAGCAGCTTGGAATGGGGCACCTCTTCGGGGAACTTCTGGGAGGTTTTGCTTTCGCGGGCCTTTCGCGGAGCTTCGCGGAAAATGTGTCACTCTTCTTTTCTCTGAAAACGTTTGCGCCTGAATCAAGAAACACTACGGACACCTTCGACTGCGCCAGTACCAACCTTGCTGCAACACAGCTCCATCATCGGCATGGATTCTGTCGCGGCGGGACCTTCTCTAGGAACGGTTTGCGCTAGGCCTTCGCATGCCCTCGCAAGCTTTCGGGGCCTACGCCTCGGCTTTCGCGAAGGCTCTGTAGGACACCCGCTTGACTACTTATCATCAGAGTTTGTGGCGCTGCTGAAGGCAAAACACACAGAGTAGCAGCTCAACAACAAAAGCAGCCAACAACAAACAACCAACAACCGCATGAGGAACCACCACCACCACCACCACCACCACCACCAGCACCAGCACCACCACCCCGCCCAAGTGCGCCCGCTCAGCATTGTGTCCATGCCAGGCACATGGTAAGAACACTCGCTCAAGTGCTGTGTCCATGCCAGGCACAT